GGAGAATAATCTAAGTATTTATTAGTTAAGACACATACTTGCAATCCATATACTTCAGTACGTTCTATATTCCATTTCTGAAGCGGCATGGTATTCTGTACATAATTAAGTACAGAAGACAATAATTCAGTATTATATCTCATATTCAGAATTCCTTATCTGCATAGAAATCAACACCCTGTACAGCCAGGTCTGACCATTATAGTCTTATGGCTTGGACAGTTTACCATGTTGGCATCATATCAGGGAACCACATTCTTCCAAGATGTTTGGAAACTTCAGAATGAATTTGATCCAGGTTATAGTCACTATCTGGAATAAGGACTTCCTCCATGATGGATAGTTGTGTGAGTCTGCCCCCACACATCTTTACAAATTCAATAAAACCTCGACAGGTAACTTCACATTCGCCAAGTCCCATGGCAGTTAAATTCTTACAACGTTCAGCAATGCGAATTAGTTCATCATCCAAAGGTTGAAGACCATTAGCACAGACAACCAGTTCAATAAGCCTTGGGCAGTTCAATCCAATACGGCCAAGCATTGCTTTACTTACTGCGCGGCCAAAGTAAAGATGAGTTACAGGAGTTTCCTCCCTGAAGAATACATCAAACTCTTCCTCATACAGGAAAAAGTACATCACAATATTGACTTTAGGGGAGTGCTTAATGAGCGCATCCCAACTTTGCTTTTTGATGGTGTGAAATTCGGTCTGTCCAGGATTCTCACTTACAACATCTATACGGAGATGTTCCAGATTAACATGCTTCTCACTTGAAAGAGCCAGCAACAATTCATCACTTAGTAGATAGTAATTAAGAGCTAACTCCCTAAGGCCGTGACACTGGTCAGCAACACAGAGAATTCCTAAAAAAGACAGAAAATTCAATATAAGTGTATAAAATATATTTAAATTTTTCTTTTAATGCTAAAGTGCTCATATGCCCAGACAAAGTTGAAAATATTCTAATATATTCTGTATGGAAAAAAGTCAAGAAAGTGATGGGGAAAAGTTGTATATTACTTTCCCTGCTTGTTCAGAAAATACACATCTGCAAATTTCACTGAAGAAACAGTATCAGTATCTCAACAGATTTATCACTTAACACTTTGGTTCTCTGCAATGACATGTTCTAAACAACAACAAAAAAACTGATATAAATTATTCATAAAAATGTCTTTAAAATTAATGAAATTTCTTTCCATACAGTTTTCAGTCCAAGACATAAGACAAGATATAACAGAGACAGCAAACCGCAAAGATTTAATCATTCGGAGAAAGATACTCTGCCTAACAGGAAAATAAAAATGTAATGTAAAGAGGGTTTTTGGTTCCATTGCTTATGCAGTTTTAATTCTGCATAATTCAATCCACTGCAAAATATTATTTTGTAATCCACTGAGATATTTTTGTAAAATCCTTTGACAATCACTATTTTGTAATTTTGCCTACCTAATTTGGTCTTAAAATGAATTAAATGCCTATTTAACTAGGAATTTGTGGGAAATCAGCTCATCTAGTGAGCAAAACCCTCCCCCAACCATCTTCTCATCTGGAGAACATGCAAGTGGAAAGAGTAACTCCCATGACTCACACAGGATATATGATGCTTGTTTTCTTCTTTTAAGAATGACATGTATTCCAAGTACAGACTGGTGACCCCCTGGAAGAAAAGGTGATGGGGTAGAGGTAAATCTGTCTACTCTCCAGCTTCTCAGGGAAGATGAGAAATTCCTGGAGATCCTGGAAGTACTTATAGAGGAAGAAGAAAAGCCTCCCAGAAGACAGAAAGCCAGGAGGGGGTAGAGGTGAAAGAACTAAGCTTGTTTGGAAGAGTTCTCTTTTGTGGGAGTGGAGTGGGTGGGGAAGAAGCTCCAGAAGAGCTTCCACAGCCTCTCCACTTATGGTGCTTCTGGATCCCTTGGCAAAGAACAGCTGGACATAGAGCTGAGGAAAAGGACTATACAGGCTCTGAAAAGAAAAAGATTCCTGTCTTTGCCCTGAAGAGGATGAAGTGATAGGTGGTGAAGATTGGAGATTCCCTACTGAAACACATCAAAATAGCAACCTGTCAGCTTATCAAGAGAAGTGTGCTGCTTTCCTGGGTTTCACATTTAGAATATGATTGAAAAGTTCCCAAAACTATCCCTTTCTATTGATCCACATGGGAACAAATGGCACAGCTTGATACAGTTCTGAAGATACTGCAAGGGACTGTGAATTACTGTGCAACAGAACAAAGAAGCTGGAGGCACCATTAGTATTTTTTTTTCACTGTTTCCTGTTGAATGACATGGCCTTAGAAGAAAGTCTACAAGAAGCAAATAATTTGTTATACAGATTGTGCCAAAAGAAACAGTTTGGACTCTTTGACTCTAAGATATATGGAGAACAAACTAAAAGAACTAAAGTCCTTAATGTAGAAAAGCAAATATGATTTAGTAAGCATTATTTAAATATGGTAAAAAAAAAAAAACTACCAGAGGAACATATAGGGGAATGCACAGGCTGAGGAATCTAATTTGTTAAAAATTATAGGCCAGATAAAAGGGAAGGAGGGATGATGTTAGATGTGAAAGAAGTACATATACGTACTGAATCCAGGAATATGAGCACAAGGATCCAGTAAAAAACAATTAGATAAGAATACAAGGAAGGTGAAATTACAATCATATTATTGTGGTGATGTGCTACAGATGGCTATATCAGGGAGAAGATCTGATAATGCCCTCCTGGATCAAATTACAAAGAAATACGGAAGAGAGGCCTAGTAATAATAGAAGACTTCAATTACCTGGACATCAGTTGGAAAACTAAATCATTCAAGTCTGCCCCTGTTGACTCTTCGTTTTTCCAAAAGGTCGAAGAAAAAAAAAAGGTGGCTGATGCTCCTAAATCTGATTTTAACCAATAGAGAAGAGCTGGTTGAAGAGGTAAATGGAATGGGAACTCTGGGAGGATGTGACATGGCATCTTGGGTTTCAAGATACTGGTCATATGCACATACTATATTTCAGGAGAGCTACAGTGGGGCAAAAAAGTACTTAGTCAGCCACCAATTGTGCCAGTTCTCCCACTTAAAAAGATGAGAGTGGCCTGTAATTTTCATCATAGGTATACCTCAACTATGAGAGACAAAATGGGGGAAAAAATCCAGAAAATTGAACTTTTGATATTGACCAAATACTTATTTTCCACCATGATTTGCAAATAAATTCTTTAAAAATCAGATGAACTTTTGATATTGACCAAATACTTATTTTCCACCATGATTTGCAAATAAATTCTTTAAAAATCAGATGAACTTTTGATATTGACCAAATACTTATTTTCCACCATGATTTGCAAATAAATTCTTTAAAAATCAGATGAACTTTTGATATTGACCAAATACTTATTTTCCACCATGATTTGCAAATAAATTCTTTAAAAATCAGATGAACTTTTGATATTGACCAAATACTTATTTTCCACCATGATTTGCAAATAAATTCTTTAAAAATCAGATGAACTTTTGATATTGACCAAATACTTATTTTCCACCATGATTTGCAAATAAATTCTTTAAAAATCAGATGAACTTTTGATATTGACCAAATACTTATTTTCCACCATGATTTGCAAATAAATTCTTTAAAAATCAGATGAACTTTTGATATTGACCAAATACTTATTTTCCACCATGATTTGCAAATAAATTCTTTAAAAATCAGAGGTATACCTCAACTATGAGAGACAAAATGGGGGAAAAAATCCAGAAAATCACATTGTCTGATTTTTAAAGTTTTCTGGATTTTTTCCCCCATTTTGTCTCTCATAGTTGAGGTATACCTATGATAAAAATTACAGGCCTCGCTCATCTTTTTAAGTGGGAGAACTTGCACAATTGCTGGCTGACTAAATACTTTTTTGCCCCACTGTAAAGTCAATGAACTTAAGAGAAGTGCTAGGTGGGACCCCATGGACAGATATCCTCAGATTAAGGAGGGCAGGAGAGTCGGTAATGTCCCCAGAATAAGATCAACTACATACTGTTCCAATGAGAAGGAAGATGGGAGAATTTAAGAAACCGCTATGGTACAGGGGTTCGGAGATGACTTCCAAAGTTCTTCAAACCTTACATTCTATGATTCTATGAAACTCAGAGCACTCAACAAAGCAGGTTAGCATTGCCTTGCCTGTGAGATACCAAACTGTAATCTAATAAAGCTGCTTCTTTAGTTAAAAGATGTAGCCTCGGTTGCTGCATCCAAAAATCTATTCAAGGTTAACTAGCACAAAGTTTACATTGTAGTTAAGGATGAACCCAAGAGCTGCAGTAACAAGGGTAAAAAAATGACATGAAAAAATTCTATATAGCAAGATAATTTTGAAACTAATACAATAAAATAGTTCAACATTGTTGCTTCACTGTTGCATTTTTGTTTACTTGGGTTTATTACTTACCAGCAGGTGACACATGAGGGCAGCTGCTCATTTTAAGCAATTTTAAAGTATCACTATTGTTAGCAACAAGGACCTTCAAGGATGGATCATCTACTGGTGTGTCTTCAATCTTAACGGAAGACAATGACTTGGAATTGATGAACACTACTGTCAGCGCTGATACAAAATGAGCCTATTCAAACAAATTAGAAAGGAAACATGTCATATACATTTCCTATACAGTTATAAATTTTGCACATTTTTTTTTAAAACAAGGGGTTACACTGTCGGTTTATATTTCTCAAGAAGCTGTCAAAGATGAAGGGATATTCATCTAGACGTCAAGTATTTAATGAGTCATTACCATGAAATGTACATTAAATCAAAGGTTTAGAGCTATTAATGCTGAAAAGTAAACCCATAACAATAAATGAATCTTTGAGTACACCAGGATCAAACCCAATAAAGCTTTTTAAGTTTATAATTAGATGCTGAGTTCATACTGAACTACTCAGCTAGGGTTCAAATTCAAATACTGTAGTGGTAGTATAATTTTGCCAGTATGGCAAAATCATCATGCATAGGTTATAACCAATTATGTCATTTAAATGGAAGAAAAGCATTCAGCAACAGATTTCTCCTCCTCACTCCTTCTGGTGAGTTGCATACCTACTGCAGTAGATTTGAGAGGCACACAGAAAATGAATCGTGGGGAAAGAATTACTGTGAAGTAATTATAATTATTTCAATTTATGAAATAACTGACTTGAAATAATTGTAGTGAAGTATGTTTGAGTGGAAATTCATTTGAATTATGTTGCAGGTAGTTCACTGACACTCTTCATGCAGATCTTGCTTATTATTGGGAATATTGACAAATGTTCTTTATGCAGTCTTCCTAACCAATTTCTTCCAAATGTTGCTCTAAAACTCCTCCAACCCTAGCCAGCATGATCATGGTGGATGGTGATGTAGACTGTAGTAAACCATCTTGAATGCTTATTTATGTAATTTAGCAGAAATATGCAATAAGTTGTAAACATCCTTACAGATAAATGGATCAGCAAATGGCTAAGATTTTCAGAAACAGCTGGACCAGTAATACATCACCTGAATATTCCAAACCTTACAAAACTGTTTTAAGATGTAGGATAAATACAACATATATTTAAAAGAACATGGATTTGGAGGACTCTATTTCAGCAAGCTCATCCTGTCATTAACATATTCTCAAACTTAATATTTTCTATTTTTGCCTGTATACTGTACATCAAGTGATCATCAAAGTACTAATGTACTACTTCACTATCAATTAGATATTTTAAAAAATTCTTGGAGTCTTTTTGGTCACTGGGGTTGTTTTCTCATGTTAGCACTTTATCATGATCTAGTGTTTTTCACAGCAGGATCTGCTTATTTAAATTATAGGTCTGTGGTACCCAACAGTGTTGCTTCACTTGTATAGCAACATTTGATTCAGTGGATGGGAAAAGATGGGAAACAAATTCATCAATTACTTCTTCACGCTACAGCTACTTCTTCACTTTGTTCCAGAGGATTGATAGATCTTCTAGAAATGACAAGGAACTGCAGCAGAAAGAGGGGACTGGAAAAAGTCATTTTTTCTCTCCATTTGTAAATATTCCTGCTGTACCAAAACTTTGTTCTGAAAGCAAAACTGATCAACAAATTCTTTCAAAAGATGATGCACTGGGGAAAAAAACTGTAGAATGTATTCCCTAATGTATAATGCCAGCTATATAAAAAGTTGTATTTATCAGTTTTACAAGTTCATAGCTTTGCAAGCAATACCTTAGAAACGTCCATGAAACTTGGCTTTGCTGTTGAAATTAAGCCAAGTGTCTTGATAGAACAATTCACCAGTTGAGAAAGAATGTCACATGCTGCTTCTGCAGACTCAGTACTACTGTCAACCTGAAGAATAGTATTTCACTAAGTTATACATACTGCATATACGTATCTTGTAAGTCAGAATAAGATATGCTGCCATTCATTTTATACTTCTTTGCTAGTTTTAAAGCATATTGGAACCCTTTGATTCTCAGCACTACTAAGCACTGTTGATGCTTTTCATCAGTTAATTAAGGTTAATCACTCATCCTATCAACTACAGTTCTTGAACAGAAAGGTGCACAAATATATGTAGAAGTTGATACAGAATTTCAAACAACCACACATAAATTGAATACAGATAGTCCTCACTTAGTGATCACAACTGGAACTGGCAACTCCACTGCTAAGCGACATGGTTGCTAAATGAAACATGTGACCACAATGGACTTATGACATCACTTCCCATTTGGTCGTTAAGTGAACCACTGGGTTGTTAAGCAAGACATCATGTGACCACGACTTGCGATTTTACTGTTGGCTTCTCCATTGACTCTGCTTGTCAGGAAGCCAGATGTGAAGTGTGTAAATGGCGATCACGTGACTGTGGGATGCTGTAACTGTCATAAATGCCCGCCAGTTGCGAAGGGCCTGAATCTGAATCATGTAACCGGAGGGACACTGTGATGATTGTAAATGCATGGAGTAGTTGTAAATTTACTTTTTCAGTGCCACTGTAACTTTGAACAGTCGCTAAACAGGGCAGTCGTTAAGCAAGGTCTACCTGCACACTTAGCTATATAAATATAGTTTATAAATATAAATAACTACAAGGAGCCACTGTGCACTTGTTGGTATATACCTGACATACTCTTCAACCTATCAAGAATGATTCAGTTTTAACAGAAAGTACACTAAGACTTCAATCAAGAGGCTTGCTATGACATTTTTTATCAAAGACAGTCCTTCACTTGTTTATTCCCACAAATTTCTAAAGTTACTTAGGATGAAAAATGATGAGTGGTCCATATTTCAATCTGCCTCTCCTTGGTCCGTATGCAAACATGTCTATTCACTTATGCTAAATGTATATTGTCTACTGCCAGCAACTCCTCCCACACCATCTGCTCTGAACGACTGGGAGACATTTTGAATCATATCAGAGTTGCAAGAGAAAAGAATGTAAAGGAATGATTGAGCTGGAGTCCCCAATTCTAGTTTAACACTTCTAATTTTCATTTCTTTAATACTTCAAGTAGGCAATATATAAAAGCAGCTTTCCCACACAAAAAACACCCAATGTAACCCAATGTGCATAAAATATAAGAAAATTCAGAGTTATTAAAACATTAGTTACCTTGAAGCTTACATACTGCAAATGATCAGCATGTCTCTTGATAATCTGCTGGATAAGATCAGGGTGAGTAGACTTTAAGTAAGAAGTAGCAGGCTGATTAAGCTCAAATTCAAACTTTCTCCAAAGATCAGGGATATGAAATACTTCATTCCATCTCCGGCAAACTGAAGATGCCCGAGCACGATCAACAAGAGGCAGACACTGAAAGATTTGCAAAACTATATGGATTGGCAGGCTTCCCCAGTCAATAAAGTTGTAAGAATGAGATGCAGCAAACATTGAGTTACAAAAACCAGTTTTCTGTTTTTTCCTTCTTTCTAGTGCTTGAAGAATGGGATTTTCATATCTAACTGTTTCCTTGATCCTCTTCATACCGATAACAAAACAAAATCATGTAAAATGCTGTTGAGATATATGGAAATGACAAAGCTTTCTGTGAGTTTTCAAGTACAGTCGATCTCTAGAAAAATAAGGACAGAATGAAAGGTCTTTCAGAATGCCAAATCAAACAAAAGAAAATATATCTTTGTTCTATGAAAAAATATTAATGAAATCCTTAACTATATAAAGGTTAGGTGGTATCTGAAGAGTGGATGGCTGCCATTCAGCCCCCTAATTTTATACTGGCCAGTAGGAAGTCATCTAGTGACATCCCAGAAAGGATGTGGCTGAACTTTAAGGTCCCCCCCCCCCCCATTTTAACAGTGAAGTGGTAACTATAGGCTTTTGGAAATTTATTTATTTATTTATTTATTTATTTATTTATTTAATATAGCCACCCATCTCACATATATGAT